GGAGAGAGGAGAGAGGAGAGAGGAGAGAGGAGAGAGGAGAGAGGAGAGAAAAGAGGAGGCAGCCTGGGGTAGGGTGGGGGAGGGGTTAGAATCTAATATTGGGGGAGTTTGGAAAGGTTGAGGCCGGTCGCGACCTCCGTTCCTGCAGGCTGGAGTGTGTTGCGGCAGAGTCCAGCCTCTCTCTTCTGCCTCTGGAAGTCCCGGGAGGCGGTGATAGCTTGCACCGAGCTCTAGGCTCTTCTGCAGGGGGAGGGCAGGCAGGAGAGGCGGGGCGCTGGGCGGGGTCGGGACGGGGCTGGGCGGGAGAGGAGCCGGTGACCGCGGGCGGGGCTCCTCTCCGGCGGGTGCCGGAGTCTGGGGGCCGCGGCTTCCCCCTCCCCGCCCGCCGAGGCACTGGCCCCTCCTTCCCCCGCCGCCCCCGTACCCGCCGCTGCTGCCGTTGTCAACTGGGCCATTGCTTGCAGGAGCCCTGGCAGCAGGCGATCGAGCGGTGAGGAGCCTAGGGCGCGGCCTCGCCTCCCCGGCCCGGCTCCCGCAGCAGCACCGTGGACAGCACAGACACCCTCTCCGGGACCCTGCTGCCCGCAAGAGCACGCCTCGGGCGTCGGAGATCTCATCAGCACCGAGGACAGCACCCAGGCCCTTGCTGGCCTCGGCCAGCCCACCCGCTCTCCGAGTCAGCACCGCGGACAGCCCCTCGGGACCAGACCTCGAGTCACCTAGGAGTGGTCAGCACCCTCTGAAGATGGCCACTGAGGTAGGTTGCCAGCACCCTAGCCCGCAGGCAATGCCGCAGGGAATGATTCCCCACTAGGGGCAGACTGGGCGCAAGGAGAAGGCGGAGGCGGGTGGGGGTAGGGGGTGTTTCCCGGGTTCATGGGGGCCAGGTAGGGAGTAGCAGGGCAGAAGAGCAGGACTTTGGGTAGTGGTCCCCTCACCTCTGGCATGTCAATCTTGCTCATGCCACCCTGAGCCCTGGAGAGTCCACAAGTTACCAATAGCACCAGGTCCCAGCTTAGGTTGGGATTTCCCCTTCTGAACACAGGGTTCTGATTCCCTGGAGGGTTGGAAATCCCTGTATGCTTGTGTAAGGGGAGGGAAGGTGGCCTACTGCTGTTGTTGCTATGCGGCACAGTATTCTGCTTCTAACCCAAAAGGCTTGACTAAGGAAGACAGACCTTCCTCTACATCCTCATTTCCTTAGGAGGAGGGCGTGGACAAAGGCATCCTCAGGCCCAGGACCCAAGTGGTTGGTTTTAAGAACTTCCTGCACCAGCCCCCACTTTTGAGAATTACCATGCCTTGCTTTTCTTCTCTGCTTGAGTTGCTGGTCCCAGAGTGCCCACATTTGCCTGTGTGTGGAGAGGGCTGCTTTCTTCACGGTGTGCCTAAGGACCAAGGGACCTGTTAGCTAAAGGCAAACTCTTGTTGCAATGCTTAAGAAATCAGGATTTTTGTCTCTGCCCCTAGGGGTTATCCCTGTCCCTCATTTTGTGCTAGAGATGTGAGCTCTTTGCACATGATAAAGCTGACATATGGAAAGAAGGGTTATTGGCTTGGTCCTCACACACTTGCTAATAGCAGAGCTGAAAGTTTCTCTGAATTTTCAGAGTGTAACACCGCACACTCCCCAGTTCTGCTACTGTCTTCTTTTGTGGTGTCTCCCCATTCCCAGCCTAGCTGGAATGCTGCCAAGGAGGAAATCAAAGGCCTGTGGATGATCCTGTGCAGTGTGCCTCTGGGCTTCCTGGTGAGTGGCGAGGCAGCTGTCCCAAGTGCTGTTGCCATTATTCCACTGAGTCTCCCGCTGTTGCCTGGCTTTGCGTTCTGATGTTATACAGGCTAGCTAGGAGGGACTCATGTTCTCCCAGACCCCCATGTGCAGGCAACACATTCTAGAGGAATGCAGAGTGCTTCAGAAGTACCACAGAGATGGAGAAGAACGTGAAGGAGCCAAGGGGCTGCTTGCCTCCCAGACAGGCCTGCCAGACTGCAGCAGCAGTTGATAGTGAGGTCTGATGGATCCGGAGAGGCCAGGCTCTCCTAGTGTCTCTTTCCTACAGGTCTGCTGTGGCCCATTCATTCTGCCCACAGGTTCACACCTCCTGGCTGAGGCCAGGTTTCCAGGAAGCTGTTGGTAGGCTTGATGACTCTCCCCTGGGAGAGGCTCGCTCATAATGCCTCTGTGGATACAGCACTGTGGCACACAGAACGCCTTTGAGTGTTTGAGCAGCTCTGTGAAGTGGGCAAGGATGGTGTTATTATGTGCAATTAGCAGATGAGATGACTGAGGCGTGGAAGCTTGCTTCAGCCTGGAGAAGGAGTCAAGGAAGGCTTCAGCAGCCCATTTTACAGATGATGCGACTGCACGTCGAGAAAATAATTCATCTTGCCTCCTTGACTACTACCTTTTTGTGCTTTGCAACCAGGATAATATATCCAGTTAGCCAGTATGACGCTTGCTAGAGAAGAGTGCTGGGGTCTTGGGAAGGGGCTTTGAGCTAGGAGCGGAGTGTCAGGAAGAGCTAGAGCAATGGTTCTCAACGTGTGGGTCGTGACCCCTTTAAGACCATTGGAAATATCAGATATTTGCATCACAATTCATAACAGAAGCAAAACTACAGTTATGAAGTGGCAGTGAAAATAATGATATGGTTGGGAGTCACCACATCACGAGGAACTGTGTTAAAGGGTTGCAGCATTAGGAAGGTTGAGAAGCACCGAGCCAGAGGCACTTAGGTTCCCTGACTGGCTTGGCTGGTCATCTTGAGGACAGAAGGACGGAAGAATATTTAGGATGAACGGGAAATGTTTTCGGTCTCACAGCTCGGTCTTGGCTGGACCCTACTAGCTGTGCCTAGGAAAGAAACTCAGGCTCTGCCAGGGCACAGGGTGTATGGTGTCTGGGCTAGGGTGAGTCATCCCCTAGGCTGTTTTTCACTATTAGGACTGGATTGAGATTACCAGGAAAAACCTGCTGGGGAAAGGAAAACCTCACTTCAAGTTCCCATGGTCATTTCCTTAGCATCCAAAGAGGGAGCTGAGCTCCAGGGGAAGAAAGAGGAGAGAGAAAGAGGGGGCGGGGAGGGAGAGGGGAAATGGCTTTACATGGAAATGATCTTTTTTGCTTCCTAATTTCTGTTTAGAAGTTAGCATTAGGGGAGGGATGTGTGTGAGGGGGAAGAAGGTTCTTGAGTGAGGTCCTGACCTCATTTGGAGATCTTTCCTGAGTCTATTTCCTGAGCAACAGGCCTTTGTGAATGTGTGTCTGCCCAGGAAATAGTCCAAATGGCCAAGAGCAACTGGCAAGTATCTTTTGTTGGAGGGGCTTCTCGAAGTGGGTTTTGGCACATCAGAGATGTTCTAAGTGCACCCAAGTAGCATTACCCAGGCGGGGTATGTGGAGGTCTGATCTCTGAGTCACCAGCTTGAGCTTGAGTGTAGTAGGCTGAGAGGAAGGGTGGCCCTGTGCCCAGTTTCCCACCCTCGGGGCTTACCTGGCTGCCAGTGACTCCCAGCCCAGCCCAGTGTTGGATCATCATATAGATCCCATGATTTATGAGCTCACCTCACCTGCACCTTAAGGAATGAGATGGTTTTAAGTGAGGATGGATCTGTGGACCGGCTGGGGCCTCCTGTTTGTCTTGGGCATACCCGACCCAGGAGCTCATTGCTTTCCAGAGATTGCTCCGTACCGGCCCAGCCTGAAGGACTGCCAGGTGTATAGGGACACACTACGTCACCTGCTGTCTACCATCTCTAGTACGTTCTTCAATGGCAGTGGCCAGCTGGCTCTCTGGCACAGGTCAAAAGCTCTCTTATTAGCCACAGGCTGGATCCAGCCCACTGTTTTGCCTTTGGAAATGTTTATGTTCACCACTCCTGATAAGGCTTCTTTGAAGTCAGAGATGGGAGGGGTGATGATTACAGGTTCCAGTTTAGCGTCTTTGAAGAAATGGGGGCCAGAGAAGAGCAGACTTTTCAAGGATCCTGTGGCCCGAGATCAGGCAGATTATCTTCCACAGATGAAGAGGACCAGGAGATGCTTTCTTGCCTACAATCTTACTCTACACTGACTGTGCCAGAGCCTGTGGTATGTGGGCCATTAGGACTGGCACACCAAGGTGCTTCCATGTGAACGTGTCTCATCTCCTCTATAGACTCCTCACCGCCTGACATACATTCTCCAGGGGCAGAAGTGGATGCCTGGTCACTTGGAGCCAGGACAGGCTCTCAGGTTTAGGATACTGCCGTGGCTAGGGAGGGTGCTGATCCCTCCCACTCCAAGAACTTGAGAGTGAATAAATCAGTCAAGAGGAAATAGGTCTGTATTATGTGAGATAGCACCTAATGTCTTAGTAATGGAGGATCACTCCCTTCTCAGTAAAGTCCTGAATGGGAGGCTCCCAATCAAGAGGCAGATGTCCTTCAAGGTGTCATTCAAGGTCCTAGGCCCTTTCCTGTTGCAGTCTTCAATACCTGGCTCCTCTGGTGTTGGGAGAAGGGAGGAGTTTCAGGTCTGTATGAGTCAAATAGGATATTCATCAATTTCACTCGCTTTGTGCAGCACGTGCCCACTCCAACTTGCAAGGAGGCCTTGGAAAGAATTTTGTTGTATTCCTAGGAGAAAGAAGTAACAGCCAGTCACTAAGAGACACACTGTCATGGCTCATAGTATCGCCTACATCTATGTATACACAGGTGTGTGTGTAGGCTCAGACAAAGAATGTTGCCTCTGGCAGGAAGCCAAGTCCAGGCCAGACTGCTTGAAACATTGTTTCTGCCTTTTTTCCTTTCTCACCACCACCTTTTGTGGTTTAGCACTGTTTTATTTTAGTCCTGAACTATGACAAAAAGAATCCCTTCCAGCAGGTCCCTTAGGCTTACCTACTGCTACAAAAGTGTCAGAATGATCCTTGCCGAGCTGAATGAATCCATACCTGGCTCTTGTACTCTGGCTTTGGAAGGGCAGGGAAGGTCACAGTCCTTTTCCTGTCTCATGAAAATGCATTACAGAGAAACCATAACCAGATGGAGCAAAGGCATTGATGAGTTAGTTATATTACCCAAACATGTGGATTCTTTCAAAATTATCCTAAGATCCTAGTAGATATTAAAAGGGGCATCCCCCACCCCCAAGACAGGGTTTCTCTGTCTTTTTTTTTTTTTTTTTGGGTTTCTCTGTCTTTAACAGCTCTGGCTGTCCTGGAACTTGCTCTGTAGACTACGCTGGCCTTGAACTCTTGAACTTGCAGAGATCCAGCTGCCTCTGCCTCCCAAGTGTGGAGATTAAAGGTGTGCACCACCATGCTCAGCTAAAAGGGAACCTTTTCAAAGAAGATCCTGGATAGTGGAGTCAAGAAATATTAAAACTGGAGGAGCACTTAGATGCTTTTTAATTCATGCCCAAAACTTTGAGATCAAAGCTCTTGCTTGAAGCAAAGTTTACCTTACTTTAGAAGAGCCTAGGTAATGTTCACAGATTGCTTCATTTCTAAGACCTTGAAGACCAATCATCCAGTCCTTCTGTCTTGTCAACCCTTCTCGACTCATCCCTCAGCTTTTTGTCATCTCCACCCGCAGTCCTTCCTGTTGGCAGAGACCCGTCCTATTTGTGATCTCACCCTTGACTGCAGTACATCTTCATTTCCCGCTGATTGTATCTGTTCTGCAAACCAGCTTTGCTCTTGCTAAACACTGCCTCGAACCACTGGAGCAGATCACGATTTGCTGTCTTCATTACTCCCTTTCCCAGGGTCACCCTTTCCTCCCCTTTTGACTTCTGGTCAACCTCCCCCATAGGACTCTGTACAGTCTCCAGGAAGCCTCTGTGAATAAGCGTTTCTGGGTAACTGTGACTTTGTTTCAGCCATCCATCACGGTCTAATTCATTACACATTTACTTGTCTTCCTCCCTGGAGCCCATAGACTGACTTTTGCTCAGCATCCGGAGAGCCTGGTACTAGCAGGGACTCAATAAATAAGAGTCGAGTGACTGAACGGATTCAGCTTAATTACACAGGACTAACTGGCTGTTTCTTCACTCTGCCTTCAGGGCCTGGTCTCCATGTGGCTCCAGTGATGGGCGTATTTCACCAATGAGGTGTTTATCTCCAGTGTGAGCGACTGAGGCTGGAGAGGTAGAAGAAGAAAGAGACCTTGTTCTTTGGGGGAATAGAGCCCATTCCCCTCAAGTGCTAGGTCAGATTGTATGGACAGACTGAAGTCACCCCACCTTCCTATCAAGGAAACCTATTGCATCAACTTTTGGCCCCAGTCCACTTTATACTGTTATCTCTCGGGAAACAGCCATTCCTGGGCCCTTTTCTGGGGGTAAGAAAACTAATGAGGGTGTTCTCTGACCTTTCAGAACTTAGCCTGGACCTCAGTATCCCTTGGAGTTCACGAACACATAAAGGTTTCCTCTCTTCCACAAGCCCCACTCCCCAGGCTGGAAGGGCCTAAGGTTTCCATATTGACTGGAGCTGAGTTCTCCAAGGAGAGGGCCGGGTGCCATTGTGCCTTGCTAGAACTCATTTCTCTTGTGATTGATGGCTCTGAGTGTCTCATTTTGGCCCAGCTTTGCTCCTGCTACTTTTGCAGACTGGTGATGACCTCAGACAGCTTCTCGTGTAAACTGCACTGGGCCTGATTCTCAAGGCCCCTCATGGAGCCTGGCGTGTGCCGGGATTCATCAATCCCTTCGTATCAGTACAGGGAGACAATGGTCTCCTGAGTGTGTGCCTCCTGCCCATCTCCTCAGGTCCACAATCTCCAGGAGCTCCGGCGAAGCGCATCGCTGGCCACGAAGGTTTTTATCCAGAGAGACTACAGCGACGGTACCACCTGTCAGTTCCAGACCAAGTTCCCCCCAGAGCTGGATAGCCGGGTAAGGACACCTTTTCTAAACACGAGCTCTACTTCCATGGTAGCACGGGGTGTTCCTAGAACGTATTTTTTTCTCTAGTCTTCTGTGACACGCAGTACCACAAATGCATGATTTAGCCGCCCTGAATGGAAGAATGATAAATCCACTGCAGTCTTGCATCTCCACACAGAAAATTCTCTGAAAAACAAAACAAAACAAAACAAAAAAAAAACTCAGACTTGTTCCAGTCCAGTAGCTCAAATTACCCTTGCATGGGAATCCTCTAGAAAACTTGTTAAACAAATGTAAATTCCCGAGTCCTAGTGGGTTAGACTGGGTATCAACAGACATGCTGACTCAGTTGCTGACCTGTGGTTTAGGAATCCCCACTTGTTGACAACTGTCCTTAACCTTGGCTTGCACACTAGAATGTTCTGGGCAGCTGAAAAAAAAATCTCAGTGCACCCCAAATCACTCAGAGTCTCTGGGAGTAGACATTGTTTTACATCTTAATTTGCAAATTAACTTTTAAGTTAACTAAAAATTATTATTTAAATTATAATTATTCACACTTCAATTTTAATGAGGAATTCTCAGGTGAGCAAGAATTGAGTGGTCCCTAGATCCTGCTTGGGTAGTAGCTTGCTGTCTAGTGCAGCGTCTCTTCCCACTCTTGACCGGATTGGGGCCACTTATGAGCTTTGGGAAGTGGGGGACAGACAAGGCATCTGCTTGGGAAGGGAGGGTGACAGTAGTGCTTGCTGCTCTGACCTACCCTCCCCTTCCCAGACTGTTTCAGTCCTCACCTCTTGGGGCTGAGATTTGGGTGCAGCATTGGCTTTAAAAACAGTCTACATGGTATTAGCGCGCAGCCCACACCGAGCACTACTGCTAAGCCCTTGTTTCAGAATTGTACCCTGTGGCTGACAGGGTCAGCACCACCAGGGAACTCAGGCACAATGCGAGGTTCCCAGCCTACCTCAGAGCTCCCAAATACGAACGTGTTTTAACCAGATCATTACGTTGCACCACACACACAGCTTCAGAAGCAGAAGCGTCCTTCAGGGCTAGAAACAGGAAGTGACTCACCCAAGTTTTTAGAAGGTACTGGAAGAGCCAGGTGCCTGCCTTCTCTGCTTTCCCACTGGCCTCTGATGTTCATTCTGATGCAAAAGCATCCTTAGCAGGTGTGGATGAAAGTAGATACCATGTGGTCAGCTGTGGCAGGGAAGCTTAGAGACACAGAGAATGAGCTGGGGGCTGCTTTCCGTCTTGTTTTCATCTGTCTTATAAAGAGTGAGGAGGGGGCCTGATGTTCCATCTTCATCTGCTGGTAGTATCTAAGGTGGCCAGCCAAGAGTTGTGATCTCCTTCTCTTCCCAAGGGTGTACAGTCCCTACCAGGGGCTGCCTTAGAGCTGATTTTGGTTTGGAGGAGGGCAGAGACCCAGTGCTGCTCTGTGTTGTAGACCAGGATGATGTGAGGAGGTTGAAAGGTGAGGCACGGCTGGTCTTTGCTGACTGAATCCCCAAGACCTCTCAGAAAACCATGAGCATCCCATTCTCAAGAATGCACATCTGCCCTTTACAGGGAGTTAACAGTGGTAGGGGCCAGGAGGTCAGAGGTGAGGCCTCAGGGTTCTCCTGGTCTCAGCAGCAGAGCAATCCTCACCTGTCAGAGAGTGGAGGTGGCAAGAATGCTTTTGGGGTCATGTGAGAGTTCATAAAAGGCTGGTGTGTAGAGTTCTTAGTGTTTCCTGTTGTTATGGTTACAGGTCAGCTTCCTGTATGCACACACACACACACACACACACACACACACACACACACACACACACACAGAGTCACTGGTGTTTAGTAACTTCTTAGCTGGGAGGAAAAGTGTTCCGAGAGTGGCTCTCCAGAGCTCCCTCTGTCAGTCACAAGCAGCTGGAACACCTTCCAAATCTGGAGAATCTGCTTGTGGGAATTTGTTGTTGAGCTCTGGCACAACCATTACAGTGAGAACTGATGTCACCAGAATACTTGTCTGAGCTTCTGCATGAAACATCCATGAAAGTGGGTCTCAACCCATAGGATTTTGTGTGTGTTGTGTGTGTGTGTGTGTGGGGTCAGCTGATCTTTTCACAGATGTTGCAAATCAGATATCCTGCACATTAACATTATCCTGAATATTTACATTAAGGTTTGTAACAGTAGCAACATTGAGGTTATGAAGTAGCAACAAAAATTTTATGGTTGGGGTCACCAGAACATGAGGACCGTACTAAAGGGTTGTAGAGTTTGTAAGGTGGAGAAAGAACCACTGATCTAGGACATCGTGAGTCTCCTGTTCCCAAGGGAGGCCGACAGTCCTGCTTGTTTCCATCCTATGGATGAGGAAACCCACACAGCACGGGCAAGCCACTACTGCAGGACCACACATCTAGCTCAGGGATAAGTCCCAACTGGACTCCTGGTCTGTCCCCTGGGCTCTGTGTGCTCTGCCTGCAGCTTCCTGGTCATGTCGGTGTGTCAGTATTTCACCACCTCCCACTCATGTGGCACCAGTGCTCTTATCCGTGGCCCGACTGGGATTGTCCCCACTTTGGGGAGGCTAATAGTCCACCTCTCTCCCTCCAGATCGAGCGGCAGCTCTTTGAAGAGACCGTGAAGACCCTCAATGGTTTTTATGCGGAGGCTGAGAAGATTGGGGGCAGCTCCTACCTGGAGGGCTGCCTGGCCTGCGCCACAGCCTACTTCATCTTCCTCTGCATGGAGACGCACTATGAGAAGGTGGTGCTTCCCCATCTCCCCTCCTCCAGCTTCCTTGCCACAGACTCATCCTTATGGACCCCTCTTTCTGCAGGTTCTCAAGAAGATCTCCCGTTACATCCAGGAGCAGAATGAGAAGGTCTTTGCGCCTCGAGGCCTCCTGCTCACGGATCCCGTGGAACGTGGGATGAGGGTTGTATCCTTCTGGGATCTTCTGTGTGAGGGCGCAGAGCTGTCTACCCAGTGGGGCCCTTGAGGATGTTACTAGGAAATAAGAGCCTTGCTAGGGTCCTTTCAGGGTTCCACACATCACTGGTCATAGGCGCCCCTCCCCTTTCAGTTATTGGGGCCACTTGTGAGTTTCAGGCTTTATAGTTATTGAACTGCATGCAACTAGAGCTTATAAGACAGCCAACATGTGAAGGCTTTGAAAAATACAATCTCAGATGATTTTCATCGCATGCCCAGGAGTTGGGCCCATCTTACCCTCGTGTCTGTACCAGGACCAACCCTGAAAGGAAACTGGCTGTCCCTTACCCTCAAGCAGCAGATTGTTAAGTCAGGATTCAAGCCCAGGCTCTCTTATCCTGCAAGGCTGTCTGCTCCTCAGAGAATCTGCAAGACTTCGGTAATCTCATTTAATATTCTGTGTTGAGCCTCACCACCCCCTGAACACAGATGAAAAGAATGAATTCCAGGATGGGGATCCTCCTCTGGGGTGGCTATCTTAGTGACAGGCTGGCAGGGGCTGGATGACAGTTCTGATGACCCCATTTGGAACCTTTGTTCAGGGGAACAGCGCCCCTTTCAGTAGTCTAGAAACACACATTTGCCCATGCTTCTTTTTCGCTGGGCCCTTGTGTTGCGCTTAGCACCCAGATACTCCATTAATTTGCACAGGAGTCCCAAGGCTCTGTTAGTGTCCCCAGTTTGCAAATATGAAGGGACTGACCTAACTTGGGTGGGCCAGTAGCTATCAGCAAGTGGAACTGCTTGTGTATTACACCATTTCCCGGTGCACCTGTGACTTGGGATCCCATAACGCATTTTGAGGAAGACCAAACTCAACATGGGATCCCATTGTGCACTCAGCCCCGTGTCCTCTCGGAAAAGGTTAGCTGAGGTTTGGAGAGGGTTGGGACTTCAGGCCTTCTGGTCTCTGTTATTGGGCATAGCGGGCTTCAGTTACAGGCCTCTTGCTGGGTCTGTACCCCCTTTCCCAATTAACAGCTGGGTGCTCGCAGCTCCTTAACCAGCATCCCAGATCGAGATCTCCATCTACGAGGACCGGTGCAGCAGCGGCAGCTCCAGTAGCGGCAGTAGCAGTGGCAGCGGCAGCAGCAGCGCTGGCGGTGGCGGGGCGGGGGCTCGGTGACTGGCCGAGAGTCCCCGCAGGGAGGTGTATGGCCGGAGCGAGGGGCTGGCAGATCTGCGGAGGCTGCGTTACCAGAGTACCCGCTTCTGAGTCTTTCTCTGGAACCACCCTGCCGTGTGGAGCCGGAGGGAGGGTGATTACCCGGTGTCCCGTGTTCCCAGTCCTTTGCCCGTTGGCAGGATCTTCCCCTTTCTGACCCTGGACTTGACTTTCTCCCATGGGGATGGTCCAGGTCATCAGAGCCAGGTTTTCCTTGGGAAGTCTGAGGGCGGGGGAGAGGGGAAGCCAGCTTGGATGAACCCTCTCTTCCTTGCCTTCTAACCCCACTCTAAGGAGGACCCGGAGAATCCCCCCCCCCCCGCATGATCCTTCACCCTCAAAGCCCCTGTCTACCTGGATTCTGCTCCCGGGGCTCTAAGGCCCAATGCCACCATGGGGCTTGTCAATGATCCCACCTCCTCTTTGGAGATCTGGGGAGATGGGTGCCCTGGGAGCTATCCAGCTTCTCTTAAGGTGGAGGCTTTCCTGTCCTTCACTCAGAGCAGAAAGTCCTCTCAGCCTTGCCAAGAAGCACCCAACTCTGAGACTTTGCACCCCACCAGGAGCTGGTTATGGGTGTTCTGCCTGGGACTCTGAGGGAGGGGGGTTTCCACTGGGGTATGGTAAAACCCTGTGGATGAACGCAGCTGGACAGCACCTGAACTCCCGAACTGGAGCCAATTTGTGTATTACGTGTATACTGTGTGCTCAAATGTATGTGAGTTTATGGGTGGGAAAGCATGTGCGTGTGTGAGTATACAGGTGTATGAATGCGGGTGTATGTGTGTGACTGCACAAGTGTGAGTGGGTGTGTGCACATGTGTGCACGAACCTATGCTTGTATGAGAATAAATGCATGTGTGTGAGTATGAATATCTAAGTGTGCACATGTGTGTGAGAGAGAGAAAGCATGTGTGTAGAGAGAGACTACTCTGTGTGTTCTCTTTGGCTGATGGGCTAATGATTACCATGGCCTGCTCTGTCCTGTCACACAATGGTCTGCAGCAGGAGGTGGGTCCCTCCTGGTCTTCTACAAGTCGGTGTCCTAAAGCTGGGCTGCTGCTGGACTGTTGCTCCTGGCCTTTCTCCTATCTCTGGCTCTATTATGCATATTCTGATGGAGAAGAGCTGGGATCCTAGGGGAAGCAGAGCCAAGGTTTGGGTGGTTTTTGGTGCCCTTCTTCTGGCCCCTGTGACATAGTGGGGCCACAGATGCTGCAAATTCAGCCTGCCTAAGTGTCAGAGCCCTGAAGTCCTGCAGGTGAGGCTCCCTGGACATTCAAGGCAGTGTGCCTTGCAAGGGAAGAAGGGCTGGCCAGCCAATGGTGCTGTGGCTCTCAGGGGGAGCCAGTGGGGGGCATCCTGGGGCCTGAATAGGGACAGGAAACAGGGTGCCTACCTCAGCAGACAGGAGGTGCTAGAACTGGACAGGAGACACCAGCCACTATAGTAGCTTTCTGGAGCAGAGAGGGCCTTGTTCTCTGCTGGCCACAGCAGCAGCGTGTGATGTCAGGAGACGACGCAGAGAGATGGAGAGGGCTGGCCAAGCCCCTGAAGCCTCAGGGAGCCTGAGCCTGCAAGCCCTGGTGCAATGAACCCCTTCTTCCCATGCTTCAGCCCCTCCCCCTGCCCAATTCCTGGCAGAAGCCTGTGCCCTCCCTAACCTGCTGTATGACTTTGGGACACTGACATTGGGAAGGTTGAGAAGAGGCAAAATGAAGACCTTTCGTTTTATTCTTTTTCCAATAAAAAGGACTTGCCAGCTTGAGGCTCCATGCTATTTCTACTGGTCCATGGTGATGGGCTTAGTTCTGCATCCCAGCTCATGCAGAGAAGCTTGGCTGAGTGTGTACAGGAGAAAAAGCTGACACAGGACTGATGAACTCTCTCTCTCTCTCTCTCTCTCTCTCTCTCTCTCTCTCTCTCCCCCCTCTCTCTCTGGAGCTTGTGGGTCAGTGGGGAGGTGGACATCCCACCTTTACCACTCCTTAATCCTTGGTGGCTTTGTGGCTTTGTCTGGAGACAGTAGGCTCAGATGAAAGCTAAACCAAAAGTAATTGGTCAGTGAGTTAGGTAGGGTCTGTTTCTTGAGCTTTTACTCTAGGTCAGGCACAGTCTGGGTCAAATCACATGGGCCATTTGTTACTGAAGGCTAGAATGGACTGGCAGGGTGGCTCAGCTGTTAAAGTACTTGCCACGCAGGCCTGATGACCTAGGTTTGAGCCCTGGAACCCAAGTAAAGGTGGAAGGAGAGAACCAACTCCACAAAATTGTCCTCTGACCTCTACACATGTGCACCATGGAACATGCACAACTCCCCATCATATGCATACAGTAATTTTAGGGAAAGATTAGAAAGCAGATAGATATTAGAAATTGGCATAGCTCTGTCTTGGAAATCATAAAATTAAGCATTTATTAACCACCTACGGAATACCAGATACTTTACCAAAACCATATTCTAGGGATAAGAGGGATTTAAAGATTAGCTGAGTCTTCTCAAAAGTCTCAGGAGGTTGAGTAATGTGTCCCCTGGTCAGAGAGGTGGTGGGTGAGTTAAAACAGGGATTTCCTCCCAAATAGGAAGTTGCCTGGGGTTGTGGCGGGGCTGGACCACACAGATCTTCTGGCCAGGATCTGATCCAGAGAGGACCTTATTAGGTCACAGGGACCACAGCTCTGGTCCTGGGGTTGGGGCCAAAGTGGAGGTGGTCTCTGGGTGTTGTGGACTAGAGCTCCAGGTAGCTCAGAAGTTTCTGCTTGCTGCTTCGAAGGGACACCTGGCTCTGCACCTGAGCCCTGGGGAGCCTGGACCTTTGCCTCTGCTCAGTCTTGGCATGTGAGTGAGTGGGTTGGGAGCTGCCCCGGTGGCAGGGAGGGTCGTGCTGGAGTTCTGCCTGGGTGGGAAGTTTGCTGTACCCTGAGGTCAGGCTTGAACCTCAGCCAAACTATTTAGTGAAGAAGCCCCAAAGAAAGAAGACTGGGGATTTACAAATTGGCGAAAATTCACCCAACACCCCGCTCCCAGGGCTTGCCTGGCTGAGAGGCTTTCAGCTCTCCCACGTTTAAATGGCAATGGTCACGGTGATAAACGGTGATAACTGTGCTGGAGAGATGGCTCAGCAGTAAAGAGCACTCCTAGAGGACCTGCGTTCAGTCCTCAGCACCCACACGGCTGCTCACAACTCTATGTCCAGGGGGGACCCAACACCTTCTTCTGGCCTCCTCTGGCACTAGGCACACACAGTACATAGATATATATGCAGGTAAACACACACACACATGCTTAAAGAAAATTTTTTTTAAAAGGAAGAAAAACGGTAGCTAGCATATGCCTAATGTTTATTGTTTGTCGGGTCCTAGCTAGGCTCAGCCACAACCTCCTTCATGCTTAGGCCTTCTAGTGAGCTTTCTACGGTGTGAACGTCTATCCCCATCTTACAGATGAGGCACATGCACGGAAGTTCAACTGCCCCAGTTTACACAGGAAGTAGCAGAGCTTGGTTTTAAGAAGAAACCTGCAAACTGCAGAAAGGGTATGGGGTACATTCAGCTCTAAAGGCACCCTAGTTACCCAGAGACTGGAGCTGCAGATTCCCAGGGAAAGACCTGGGGCTGTTTGGGTCTGGGTTCTGAAGCAGGCCTGGCATCTCTTTGCCCCAGTAGCACAGGATTCTGAGTGGGCTGTGCTCACAGGCATGTGGGACCCCCAGGGACAGTCTAGTGAATGGCAGCGGAGGCCTGACGGTGCAGATCTGATAAAGTGTGGCTTTCTCTGCTGCCTCTGTTCTTAAAGCCGAGGTTTGTTCCCTCTGGCTGGCTGTGGCCATGCCACTATTTCCCCCTTGACAACCAGACACAAGACCCCAAAGACAGGTTACTCCTGATTCCATTTGAAGGGGACAACCATCCTGGCACACCCCATGCACGCTTTTGGTGCGTGGTCTTTCCTTGCTGCATACATTGGCTTTCTTCTGTTGGTTAAAGACTGGCTTCTTCGCTTTAGTTAAAGTTAGGGAGGGCCCTTGTGACAAGAGGACCGCGGAGTTTATAGAAGTTCGTGGTGCCGCCAAGTGGCGGGATCATGTACTGCACCCAAGAGCCAAAAGGCTGCAGAAAAGCTGCAAAACTTCCTCAGCCACCTTAGCTAAGCCAGCAGCTGTTGCTTGCGGCTTCTATAGGTGTGGGTCAAGGGAGGACCGGAGCCAGTTTCAGCTGCTTCGGGAACTGCTGGTCTCGGAACCCCTCTCACATCCCGTGTGGTCCCTGTAGGAAGCACCCTCACCTTGCCTTTGCCTTCTGTTCTCAAGGACAAGCTGCTGAAAATGTGGCCCCAAACACGACCAAAACTTTGAGCTCTGGCTTACAGGCAGCCTCAGTTTCCCTGGCCATCAAATAGGAAACCGCTTTACACGATTATTCAGACCCAAGCCTGAGACCTGGGTTAAAAACACTGGCTCCACAAAAGCAATCAGACACAGCCTGGAACAGACTCAAAGACAGACACAGTGGTCTATGAAGAAAGAACTGACATGGCTGTTCCTCTGTTGAGGGGGGTGGAGGAGAGGGGGTCTTCTGCTTCAGGGCCGGAGAGCTGGTAGCATAGGGATCTCGCTTCTTAGAAATTCACTGTACTGCACACATGAGATCTATGCATGTTTCTCTGTTTTATTGAATTAACCAAAGAAGTTTATTGGCTCCAAGATAGGAAGAGAAAGCACAACAGTGGGATTCATGTTTTATTGAAGATCTATTAATACGCTTCATGTCAAACCAGACAATTGCAACTCAGCATGCATATGTATACACACGTGTGCATGGCTCCCGTTTGCTGTGGGTTGTGGATATAAACAAAAATATTTGTTATGCTGAGAGCGAGGCTGTCAAAAGAGAAGGTCCCTGGTGCCTAAGAAAACCTCACTATGGTCTCACTATGTAGCTCTGGCCATCCTGGAACTCACTCTGTAGACCAGGCTGGCCTTAAACACTCAGAGATCCACCTGCCTTTGCCTCCTGAGTGCTGGGATTAAAGGTGTGCGCCATTATGCCCAGCTACCAGTCCTTCACTTAACCTCCACCTCCAAATCCTGCACTTAGGAGTATAATCAGTGCCTTTATCGGGGAGACACAATCCATAGCTCTCAGCAGATTCTCAAAGTACACAGGACCAACCTCAAAAGGTTAAGGATAACTGGTTTCAAAGAATCAGAAAATGGCTAGAAATACACCTTGTGTGAAATAGGTGGTCTGTAATGTCTCTCTTCTGGCTTTCAGAGTGTGGCCTTTGAGGGTTCCCACATGTCTCTTCTCAGGTGACTCTTAGGAGGCTCTATTTTCCCAGGCAGAGCCAAGGGCAGAGTACGTTGTGCTTGCAGCTCTTCTTTCAAGAGGTCCTTCAAAGGACCTGTCATTTCAGCATCTGCAGGATGCAGGATGCAGGGCATAGCATCCTGGGGTAGCACCAGGGCTTGCTTTTGAATCAGGGACGATAGAGGAGATGAACCACTGTGAAGGTATCAGAGGGCGGCCCCATCCAGGGACCTCCCACCCCGACCCCCAGCCATTCCCTTAGCTTCCCTGGGTCTACGCTTGCTCCTTTGTAAACCAGCAGCAATAACAAGAATGCATCGTTGTGAATGGTAATTGGTTTCCTCATTGTGAGATGCGAATGTTATTATGGCGGTGACACTGGGACCTCACTATGCAATGAGCTGGTGACACAGGTTTCAGATACTCACGTGGAATGAACAGATATTTATCCAAGGCTTCAGTGATTCCCTCCCTCATACATGCAGGAACATTCCTGAGCCTCATTACTCCGCTTGCTTCTCTAACACTCTGGTGGGTGTTGTACTCGGGATCTGATTTTATACACGAGGAAACCGATGTTCCAGGTTGTTATGGAGCTTGGTGAGAGCCCACAGCTGAACTACTCAGAGCGAAGATTCCGATCTAAGTCCCCGACTCCAAGCCCTGCTGCATTCTACCTTAGCATGCCATGGTCAGGTACGAGACGCCATTCTACCTGGGCTGACTCGTAAAGACAGATTCCAGGCCCAGGGTAAAGCACATGGGCAAACGCAGACACAGAAAAAAATTGGTTTTGGAGCGGGATGGAGGTGCTCGTTATTTTGGAGTAATTCAAGTTATTGATTTCTGTAATGGAAAAGTGATTGGGGACTAGCTACCACCTGAGAGCAGTGTTGCTCGATGCCTGGGAAGGAGGAAACATCACACATATCTTACAAGGCCTCATATATAGTGAGGCTCCCTTCCCTGCTACCCCCAATTAGTCAGTAAACCTTTCAAGTGTGGGGATCTTGTCTGACTCAGGTCTGCTTCTCCCCTCTCCGCCTCAGCTGCCTGTCACAATGCCTCGCCTCTGGCACTGAATGGGAGACACAGCCCATCTCTGGCTGGCAGGAAGAGGGAGAAGATGCAGCTTGTGCAATCTGAAGGCCCCTGGGCACTGGGCTGCTGAGAAGCCGTGCAGATAGATACAATTGAACTGCAAATGGCCACCAAATAACTCAATTAAAGGTAGAGGCAAGGGTCTGGCCTCTCCCGTGCTGGCGACAGCTCTCAATAAGGTCACCCTGGCTGTGTTCTTGTGGCTGTCTTCATGATCTTCTGGGAGAGAGGGAGAGGAAAAATACATTCTGTCTCGACCCAGTCCTCACTCATACTGCCTGAATGTCAGGACTTCAAGCAGGAAAAATCCTTTTGGACTGTCATGGTTTCTTTC